CCCCTCTGCCCCCCTCCCTCCAGCACCCCCCTGCCCCCAGGTGGTCCCCTGCCATTGTTCGCGTCCCTGGGTCGTGCGGATAAGTTCCATGGTAACTCCAAGGAAACCCACCTGCACACTCCCAGCGAAGGGCGGATGTTGTCAGAAGCAGACCTCTCCTCCCTGACCCTGTTAATGCCGAAAGGGACTTCGGTTCTGCGGGAGGCCCAGACCAGCTGCCAGAGGCCCCGTCCAGAAGGCAGAGACCTCTCTGAAGGACCTGTTTGCAGGCTGGACCTGGCCTCTGTGGGGGGGGGGGTGCTCACTAGGGAGGGATGCCAGTCCACACAGACCCAAAACCGCTTCGCTGCAATTCTGGGAAGTCGGGCCCCACCTGCCCATCCAGGAGCCCAGCACAGGGCAGAGTCTGGAGACCAGCCCAAGCCTGCTGCAGCTCCCCAGCCCAGCCCCTCGGCCCCAGGCTGGCCAGAGAGCTCACTCTGGAGGCGGCCATGAGACGGATATACTGATGACAGGAGCTGGTGACACCCTGTCCTGCAGGTTCCCAGTCCCAGCACTGTAGGTCTTTCCAGCTGGTGCTGTCCTTAGACATGGGTGGGTGACCAGTGGCCGCGACCACCCTCTATGCCTGTCTTCCTGAGACTCCCAGCCCCAGCCCCAGGCAGCCCAGTGAGCCACCTCGCTGCCTCTCCACCCTGCCACCCGATCCTGTGAGACGCCACAGGCCCTGGCGTGGATCAGGATCAGAAATCGAGGCACTGTTTCTGGGAGGGGAGCCCTGTTGCGAGTCGTCCCCTTGCAGAACCACTTCCCCCTCATACCCACTGTTTCTCAGCCACCCCTCTCCGAGAACTGACCACAGCGCCCGTGGGCTCTGGCTGCCCCTTCCCCGAGCCTACGCCAGCCCATCGCCGCTGGGAAAATCTCTTCATTTCAGAGCCTGGGGCTGGCCTCCTGGCTGCTGAGTTCTCAAATGGTCATTCTGTCGTGCAACCTCAAATCTCCAACCGCTACGGCTGCCAAAGCCATCTGTAAAAACAAAATCAAAAACAAAAACGAGGAAGAACATGGCCAGGAGTGACGGTTAAAGGAAAGGCCTGCGACCCTGGGCACCCTTGGCGTCCTCGGGGCCAGAAGAAGCCACTCCTCAGCCCCCGCCTGCAGCCTCCCCCAACACAGAGGGGGACGGGGCAGCAGCGGCACAGTCCAGCCTTCACGCAGCAGCATTTCACCGCAGGTCTCCGCCCCAGCTTCAGGGTGACGCTGAGTGGCTGAATAATAACTCCCCTGGAGTGCAGAACAAACAGAAATAGCTTCACCAAGCACCACAGGCCAGCACAGCAGTCTAGGAAATCGAGAGGCGCCGATGCTCCCGGTCTCCCAAGTTTCCATTAGACAGAAGCCAAATGGCCCTGCGGTGGCAGGGAAGGCACCTCTGCCACCCCTCGCCCGATCTCTCCGCAGGAGGCCGGAGCGGGAGGCCCGGGGGTCACTCAGGGAGCGCGTGATGGGGAAGAGGTGGCTCTGGGGCCCCAGCCTGTGACCTCTGCCTGTCAGAGCCAACCTCTGAGCCCCTTTATAATCTCTTCTGAGGCGCAAATGTGCGGGCACACAAAGTGCCCTTCGTGGAAGGTCGCTCTGGCTTCCACGTAGAAAGCTGTGTAAACCCCCCTCTGCATTTATTCAAATCCGGCTTCGTTTCATTTCCTGCCCAGGGACACTCAGGGAACACGACCGCCTCCCAGGGCTCTGAACATCTTTCGGAAAAGAAACAGTGCCCTCCCCACCTCAGAACAAAACCACTCCCCCAGAAAAGGGCAAGATACCTCCCCCGACTTGACCAAATGCAAGGCAGTTTAACCCCGTGTTCTTTGCCAAGTTTCCCTTTAAAAGAAGCAACTTAAGATGAGTGGACAAGTACAGGTGACAGAATCGGAGGCTCCCCTGCACCACGACCTGGCTGTGTGACCTCTCGAGAGACCTCACTTCTCAGGGTCCCAGCTTCCTCCGTGGGAAGATGCAGGGGACAGCAGTGCCCCTCTCACAGGTGGCTGCAAGGGGAGCGGTCACAGCGAGGCCCAAGCCAGTGCCTGCCCGAGCGGGTCTGCCCAGGTTCAAGTTTCAGCTCTACCATTCACAGGCTGCAAGACCTGGCGCGTGTTACTTCAGCAAAATTCAATATGATGCTGAAGCAGCAGCTGCAGGAGAAAAAAAATGAGCCACTCCAGTCACCCCAGGTTCAGAGAGTTCCCCTCCTAAACCCCAGCATGAGCTGCAAGGCAGGCCTCCCCACCGCCGTTCATACCGTGCCCTCTGCAGGCTGCCGCTGCTGCACACCCACTCCCTGAGCGCTCACAGCATGTTTCCCAAGCAGGGCCAGGGACCTCGCACCCTGAAGCCCATTTCATGGTCCCAGATCCCACTTGGGACCTCCCTGTTGAGCTGCCCCGGCTTCCTGCCACTGCCTAGCGCCTCACCTGACCTCGGGGGTGCAGTGCAGAGACAGTGGGGCAGCAGGGCCATGTGACTCCCTGGGCAGACACCGGAGGGAATTCCAGGCCAGACCCTCCCCCACACACAAGCCCTGCAGTCAAGCCCCACCAGGACGCAGGGACAGTGGGGGCTTCACCTGGATACATCCCCTCCACCCACCCCCCATGCAGACCCTCCTGTGGCTGACAGTGTCGGTCAGGAGACCTGCTCTGGTTTCATGTCATGTGACCTAGGATCCCGCTGGCTGTATAACGTTCTGTCCAAAAGAGGTCAGGCCTTCAGAGACAGGGACACAAGCCCCTCATCCAGGTGGCCCCCGTCCAGCGTGGAGCGGTGGCCTGCATCACCGCTCCATGGTGGCTGTCCTGGGCTACCAGGCAGGGGCCTCGCCCTGCTGCGAGCCAGCTTTCCCATCTGGGAAAGGAGGGGCCGGCCTGAGGTCTGACGCCCGTGGAGCACCCTGGGCAGTCCCCCGGACCAAGGTGGGCAGAGTGACCTTGCTGAGTCCTGCCAGGTCCTGCTGTCCCCAGCTCTGTCCCCCACCTGCATACACAACACACAGCCCCCTCCCAGCCCATGGCGGCCCCAGGAGCCCGTCCATGGGACAACGAGGAAACCACTGAAGACAGACAGCCTCTGGGGCGGAGGGCACCTCGCTCGCCAGCAGTCGGACACTGGCAGGACCAGGACGCAGAACTGAGACACCAGCACCGACAAAGAGCCCGCGGAGGTGTTTGTCCTGGGCCAAGCTGGGGTTTGTGGGCATGAGCCGTGGCCAAAACTGGCCCTGCACAGCTTGGCTGTTCAGGTCACTGTCACCAGGTGGCCGAGGGGAAGGTGCAGGGAGGGGGAGGGGAATAAATGACTCAGCTGCCCACCACTTCCTTCAGCCAGGGCCCCGAGCTCTCCTGTGCACGGCACCCCTTGAAGGGGAAGGAGGACAGCGGTGAACTTGGCTGACCCTGCAGGCAGCAGAGCTGGGATGGGGTCGGGGTGCCTAGGGCGCCACAGGGAGGGGGCGCACTCGCTCCCCACTGCACTTGCAGGACCCGGAAGGCAAGCATCTCCTTCTGCATCATGCATTCAGCTTCTCGCCTGCCTCCCCTGAGTCCGGCCCTGCCAGACAGGGGCAGTCCAGGGCAGCCAGTCCAGGGCAGCTGTGCTTCTGGGGAAGTGCCGGGGCTGCGGGGGCCAGGGCACTGGTTCCTGTTCTACCATTGTGGTCTGAGGAGCCTAGAAGGTTTCTCTGAGGAAGTGAGGAGTTTGGACTCCTGGGAAAAGAAGCTGCCCTCCTTTCTTCCTCTCTCAGTCCTGCTAACTGTTCCCCTCTGTGCTGCCCCCCAAGCCTTTACCAGGGCGGCAGAGGCCGGTGGGGCACCGCCAGCCTCACTCCTCCGGCCCCTGCGCCAGGCCAGGGGGCTGAGTGAGTGGGCTCATGAGGGGGCAAGAGCACGTGTACACTCCAGCCACAGCTAGAGAGCTGCCAGAGCCCACTAAACAGTCGCAGCTTGCCCAGGGCTGCCCCCCGGGCTTCCCCTCCAGGCCACGCACCCGAGACCCAGCAGCCGGTGGGGCTCTGGGCCCACCGGGCTTGGTTGGGACGGAGAAGGTCGGGAGGAACGAAGGCAGGAGCCCATGCCTGGCTGAACCTTGTCTCCGAGTGGGTCGGCTGCCCACAACTGTCTGTTTGGCGTCTCTGCTGTCTGTCCACATTTCTTTGTCCGTCAGTCTGTGACCCTGCGTTTTCTCTTCCTCCTTCCCTCCGCGGGTCCCTCAGTCTGTGAGTGAGGTGAAGCTGGGCGGGCGGTCGCAGCCCTGTCCTCTCTCGTGCTCATTGGCTCCCAGCCGCTCCCGGGGGAACAGCCCCCGCCAGTCCCGCCCCCCGAACCTGCGCTCGCTCCGAGCCGCCTGGAGCTCAGTCACTGGCCCAAGACCGGAGCTCAGCGCCCGCGGCACCGGCACCAGGGCAGGCTCGCCGCACACTGAGCCGCACACTGAGCGTCTGGGCAGGGGCGCGAGGCTGCAGCGCCGCTCCGATACGCGGTGGCGCCGGAAGACGAGGACTGCTTGCCTTCACCTGGGTGCCCTGGACGTCCCGAGGGTGCGGAGCAGCGCCCCGAGCTGCGGTCCTGCTCACCAAGCACCTCTCGCCGCCGCTGCAGCCCACAGGCGCCGCGGAGCGTGGAGCTCGTTTGAGCTGGAGGTCTGAGGCGAGAGGGCGGCGGTAAACTTCGAGATAGGGGATTCGGTACCGCGGGTGGCGAGGCGAGTCCCTGGGAAAGCCCGAGGACGCGGGCTCGGAGCCGTCCAGCTGTGGCGAGCCGCAGCCCTTCGCCAGCCGGGAGGAGGGGTAAGCACACGCGAGGGAGCGCCGCGGCCCCTGCGGCTCCAACGGCCCGGAAGGCACTGACTGCCGGTCAGTAGTGCGCAGCAGGGCAGGAAGGCGCGCCATGGAGGCGCCCGGCAGCGCCGGTCCACGCGAGGCGCAGTAAGCGGGTCGTCTGGGGTCCCGCGAGCCATGTACGGCGACGTGTTCAACGCCACTGGTGGCCCCGAGGCGGCAGTAGGCGGCACGCTGGCCTTGGCAGCCACGGTCAAGGCGGAGGGCGCTCTGCCGCTGGAGCTGGCCACCGCGCACGGTGTGCGGGACGGAGCGGCCGCGAAGCCGGACCTGCCCACCTACCTGCTGCTCTTCTTCCTGCTGCTGCTCTCCGTGGCGCTCGTCGTCCTCTTCATCGGCTGCCAGCTGCGCCACTCGGCCTTCGCCGCGCCGCCCCACGACCGCTCGCTGCGCGACACCCGAGCGCCCTGGAAGACTCGGCCGGTGTAACCGCCCAGAGAGCCAGGGCGGGCAGGCGCCGGGTCTGGGTTTCGCCATGAGCAGTAGGTGTGAGCGGACAGGGAGGGCCTGACCTCAGAGGGTCGCCAGCCCTTGGGCGCCCTGCGCCCTGACCCAGAGACCCTCCCGGACTGCGAGTGGCACCTGGGCGCAAAGGGAGTCGGAAGCGTCAGGGCTGCCCAGGGCCCCACTCCTAGTAGCCTCGGGTACCAAGGTCCTGATCCCTCCTCCCGCCCTGCCAGAATCTTTCTTCCCCGGTGCAGCGGGTCCAGCTGGACCTTCCGAAAACCGAGCGCTGTGGGGACATAGGAGCCTTCCTCGCTGCCTGCTGATTTCCTCACTTTGCACACCGAGCCGGCCAGCACGGCGAGCACACAGCTAGCCGGGACCTGCCTGTCCTACGCGCTGGCCCTGTGGCTGTATTCCTGAAGCTACCCCACCTCCCCCACTCTTTGGCACCGAGAACCCCCTAGGACCCGAGCCTGAACTTAGCCACTCTTTGTTGAATGATAGTGATGGTGCTCCAGGACCGCATGCCCCAAGGGAAGTGAGGGGCTGTGGAGTTTCACTGGGCCTCCCTGGTCCCCCGCTTTCTCTGCAGACACAGGCAGAGGGGAAGCCGGTGTAGAGGCACAGGGGCCCACCAGCAGCACCCTGGGGTGGGGGTCCATGTCCCACATCTCCAGGGGATGCATTTCAGCAATAAAACCTCACCGAATTAGACCCAGTGCTGAGATCACTCTGCTCATTTGTTGCGCCACTTTGGAAAGGGGGATGAGGGCCAGCCCAGCCCTATTCCCCGTGGGCTGGGCCAGTCTTCATGATACTCCCTCTTCTCCAGCTCTTCCCGACGGTCAGCCAGGTACTTGCTCTGGAAAGTGTTTTTAGAGTTGGTCTCAAGGAGGAATCACTGCCTCCTCTGCTGAAAAAAATTCCCCGAAACAGGGCTCCATGGAGACCTTTCCTTCTCTTCCCTGCCCTCTTCTTTGCTCTCAGAGCCCTGCTGGGCCTGGACCTTCCAAAAGCCATTTCTGGGCCAGAACCGGCTGGTGGAGGAAGGAGATGAGGACGGGGGCAGCCCCTCAAGCACTCCTCCCACACTAGGCAGGGGGTCAGCTCCAGAGAACACAGCCTGAAGCAATGGAGGAGTAAACCCCACCAGGAGACTACCTTAAAGAACCAGAGAGGGGAAAGAAATACTTGCAACAACCCTGACCACTTTCAAAATGAAACTAATTCTAGGGATGCTTCTTTATAGACGATTCAAATAGTTTCAGGAGTTGCCCGGCTCAGTGGGGCACTAGAGCTAAAAGAATGTTGGGCTCCAAAAATGATTTGTAGATTATTGACTCCAGTGTTCTGAACCAGTTGGGGGTCACTCGGGTGCTGAGAATCTGAAGGATGCTGGGACCTGCCTCTGGAAGAATGCACACGGGCATAGGAGTCTGCAGACCTTTGGAGAGGGCTGTCAGGCAGGGAACCCAGCCTAGGGACCCAGGCCGAGGCTGGGGAAATGTGTGCGAGGTCTGGAGTCTCAGCCAGGGCTCCTCACCACCACTTCCCAGCCGGTGCCCAAGACCCTCCCAGCTCCTGTCCCAAGAAACCACAGAGGGGGCAGAGGCATTTGCCCCCTGGGCTTAATTACCATGTATTGGAGAGCTGGCACCAGCCGAGCCCTAATGGTGCTCATTCTATGATGACCTCACAGAACAGTTTAGCTTTGTCTTTGGAAACGTAGCCAGACCTCTCCAGCCTATAGTAAGGATAACCCAGCTAATCCATGAGACCCATTGCAGAGGCACTGAATGGATAAGTGTAAGGAGACAGGAGGACCCAGGCTGGCAGAGTGAAGTCGCACAGTGCTGATGTGGGGGACTATGAGGGGTAGGGGCGGTACTCCTCCTCCGCGTCTCCCCGTGGCCAGACCCGCGGGCAGTGTGCAGAGTGCTGGGACGCGCACCCTCTGGAGTCTCTCTGTCCAACTTCAAACCCCAGCTTCGCTGCTCACAGGCAGAGTGACCCTGCCCGAATTACTTAATCTGCCTTAGCCTGTCTCCTCATCTGTGGGAGGAGTCTTGTATCATCTAGCTCTACGCCACAGTAGTCAACAACACAGCCAATGTAATGTGCTAGCACCCCACACGCTAAAGAGAGAAGCTGGCCCACAACCAGGATGTGGCCTCCCTGTCTACTGTGCCCACAAATGCAAGGGGAAAAATATGAGTGGATGACAGGCCTGGAGGCCCCCTGGCATTCCTGGGCAGGAGCCGCTTAGTCAGAGTGACCCAGCAGGCTACCGGGGCCCCTTAATGCTGTACTGGCCCAGAGCATGGAGGCCGCGGCTCTAATGTGCGAAGACAGAGGCAGCCTGGAGAGCATCCTTCTGATGTCTCTGCAGGGCTACGATGGCTTCGGCCACTGAAACCAAAGGCTTGACCACTTCAGACAAAGAGATGTTTCTGGAAGAAACTCCTAGGTAACTGGGCCTGCAGAACCAGAATCTAGAAACCAGTGGGGTCAGTGAGAGGAACTAGGTGTCTGAGGTTCTGCTTTTTGTCAGCACTGTGACCCTGAATAATTCCACCCCCTTTTCTAGGCTAGTCTTGGACTAGGGGGCGCTAAGGGGGCTCTCTCTCACGCTGGAGCGTGGCAAGCCGGGGTGTGGCTGCACTCATGCCTGCCCTCTCCTGCTAAGTGGACTGCAACACGGTCATCAGACACTAGGTGGACATCAGGGCGGTGGGTGTCTCCACACCTCCTCCTGCTCCCACACTGTCCCGAGATGCCTCGGAACCACCTCTGGAGAGCTGGGCATGGCAGGCTGAAAACAGGAGAGGGCCCGTGACATAGGGTCTGGGCTGCGACGCCCCTGGGAGCAGGCCAGAAGGGTGAGAGTGTATTTCTGATGGGCGGGGGGGGTCAGCGAAGAAAAGAGAGAAGGTGGCTGCAGACCAGGAAGCAGGGGAGGCAGAGTTTCATGGTGACCAAGAGCCTCAGTCCTGCAGCGAGGTAATCTGACCTTGACCATCGTTCTATGCCTCGATCATGTGGCTGCATGTGTGAGAGCCCGTCTCCTCCTCTGTAAAATGGAGACACCAGAATCCACTTCACGGGGTTTTCAGCATTGCATGAGGCATTGCAGGCAGTGTTCAGCTGACGTTCCACAGGTGGTTAGTGCTCTGAACGTGAGCTATCATTTGTACTGACAGGACGACCACTCCAGAAATGTCTGCCAGGACACACACAGCAACTGCTGTCCCTCAGCGACTTGCAGCCCTTTATGAAAGCCACGTGCTGTCCCAGAACAGCCGGGAGGGCTGCCGCTTCGTTAGCAAGTGCGCGGAGTAGGCGGCTGCCGTCCTGGGGCCTTCCTCCCTGCACTTTCCCTGGAACTAGTGCATCCACTCACATGGCTTCTGGAGCTTTTCGAAGGACTTTCTTCACACATTGTCTGAGCCCATCTGACACCTCCATTGGGCATCTCACAGGGAACCCCAAACTCAACACCTCTGAAACTCACCCTTCCACATAAATTAGGCCCCCCTCCCGTCTTCTCCATCTCAGCAAACTGCATCCAGGCGCCCAAATAAACAATCCATGGTGGTCGTCCTTCCCACAGGCGATCCACTGCCCCTGGATACCACTCTGCTCCACCCACGCCCCTCCACCTCTACCAGCACCACCGAATTCAAAGCCCAACATCTACTTCGCCTGTCCCGATACCTGCCTCCAGCCCGTTTCCACGGCATGGGCTCCTCCTCACTCTCAGAAATTAAAACCAAGCCCTAATCTGGGCCTACAAGCCCCAGCCCCCCCGTGGCCCCCAGCAACCTCTCCAGCTTCATGCTCCCCTCGTACTCGCAATGGCCTCCCCTCCCTCAGGTCCCTGTGCCTCAGCCGGTTCATCTTCCGCCCTCCATCTGGCTAATGCCTTCTTACCCTTCCCGTCTCGACTTGAGTATCTCTTCCTCAAAAAGGACTTGCCCGAGTTCTCAGATCAGTAGTCATTCAGAGCCCCGAACCAGCTCCATTATCCCGGCTATTAAATAACTCATAGCCTAATGTCCCCCCCTGCACCCTCACTCACATGTGAGCTGCACAAGGTCAGGGACAGCATCCATCCTGTTCACCACTGCCTTCCCAATGCCTAGCATCGCGTTAAACACAGAACAGGCAACACAGAAGCATGTGCTGAATGGACTCCAGTGAAAAGACAGAGCTAGAGGTCGAGGCGAATTTGACTGTGGGCTCTTCCTCAGAACACTGTGCCTGAAGCACAACTTGCACCAGATGGAACAGAGTGGAGCTCGGCTCCCTGCAGGTGGGAACCGCAGTTGTCAGCAACCGACATGCCTTGTCTGCATCTATGCCACACCTCGGTTCCTGTGGTATCTCCCACAGAGACTGGAAGCGCACACAATTTAAAAGTTTGTCCCTTCAGCTATTTCTGCTTGAATTACCTCTTTTCCTGCAGGAATGCTGAGATCTTTTTGTTTTTCTTCTGAGATCTTAATAGTGTCGTTCCCAGGCCTTCGGAACGGCCTTGGGCGAAGAATCGAAGAATCGGCCAAGTCACTGCTTCACACAGACTCCTCACCTCCTCCTGGCCCGACATCAAAGGCTCCCTCCTCAGCCAGCCCTCCCCTGGTTTTTGATCTAAAGCTTCAACTGCCTTCCTCTCCCCGACCCGCCCCCAAATTCAAATCTCCCTTTCCTGTTTGTTCTCCTTAGAACACACTGCTGCCCTCAACCATATTTCACTTGGTTTATGTCTCTATAACCAGAACAAAGCTCCTTGAGGGAAAGAATTTTTGTTTTTTTCAGTGTCTCCTCAGCCTGACACCTAACAGGCCTTCACAGGTTAACTGAATGAGCACACAAACCACCCACTCGGGACCAGAAAAATAGACATGCAGGGGAACGGCCTATTTCTAGTCTCCTTGACTCTCTGTCCCTGCTCCCCCTCCACACTCCAACACTGACTGGGTCCTCCTAACTGGATGGGACTGAACGGTGTCAGCGCCACTTTCCCCGAGGTTGGGAGGTGACTGACTCCTCGCTACGGCTCTGCTGCCCAGCAGAAAGCTTGACTTGTACAAACACCCAGTTAACGTTTGGTGAGACTATGAAGCAGTGAGTTAAGTATCAATTAGGTTACAGTTTGAACCGTGAAAACAAAGAACACTCCTCACCTTCAAGTTTCTTGTTCACACAACCTTCTAGGAGTAGCACAGCTATCATTCTCCCCACTGGCTTCCACATCTCCTTCAAGGTGGCTGCTCTAGTTCCTGCCATCACATCTGCATTCCAGCCATTAGAATGGGAAAAGGAGCAAGAACATCATTCTTCGGTGCACTAGGCCAAAACAGCATGTAGCACTCCCACTCACATTCTCCTGGTCAGAACTCAGTGACACGACCGTTCTAAGCTGAGAGAGAGGCTAGACATGTGGGAGGCAGTTGGACAGAGGGGTTCAGTAATCAAGACGGGGGGGACGGGTGTCAGTAAATTCGCAGCAGCACATTCAACAGAGGAGAAAGGGAAAGCACCGTTCTATCCAGATGGCCACCTTCGCAGTCTCACTAGGGAGAAGCACCCCGCGCCTGCAGTCAGTCACCTTCATCTCCAGGGCCGTCATGACCAAGTCCACACAAATCCAGTTCGCAGAACTTTATGTAAAGATGGGCAACCAAGATGGTTGGGCAACCATTATCTTTATGTAAAGATAATAACCAAGATGCTTATTATTTTTAACAGCTCTTTATATTTTTAGATAATGGGCAACCATTATCTTTATGTAAAGATAATAACCAAGATGCTTATTATTTTTAACAGCTTTTTATATTTTTAAAGTGTTTTACTGATTATGCTATTACAGTTGTCCCATTTTTTTTCTTTCCTTTATTCCCTTCCAGCCTTCACCCCCCTCTCCCACCAGCATCCACGCTCCTTAGTTCACGTCCATGGGTCGTACATATAAGTTCTTTGGCTTCTCCATTTCCTATATTATTCATAACCTCCCTATTTTATACCTACCATTTATGCGTAATCCCCATAGCTCCCCTCCCCACATTCCCCCTCCCCCTCTGCTAATAACCCTCCATGTGATCTCCATTTCTGTGATTCTGTTCCTGTTCTAGTTGTTTGCTTAGTTTTGTTTTTAGGTCCAGTTGTTGATAGTTGTGTTTGTTGTCATTTTACTGTTCAGTTTTCTTCTCTTATTTTCCTTAGATAAGTCCTTTTAACATTTCATATGATAAGGGCTTGGTAATGATGAACTCCTTCAATGTGACCTTGTCTGGGAAGCACTTTATCTGCCCTTCCATTCTAAATAAATTTTCAGTTCCTTGCTCTTCCTCTTCTCCCTCTGGCACCCCTATGATTTGGATGTTGGAATGTTTAAAAATTGTCCCAGAGGTTCCTCAGCCTCTCCTAATTTTTTTGAATTCTTGTTTCTTCATTCTGTTCTGGTTGAATGTTTATTTGTTCCTTTTGTTCCAAATCGTTGATCTGAGTACCACTTTCCTTCCCTTCACTGTTGGTTCCGTTTATTTTCCTTCATTTTGCTTTGTATAGCCTTCATTTTTTCCTTCATTTTGTGACCATACTCAACCATTTTTGAACTCTGCATCTGATAGGTTGGGTATCTCATCACTTAGCTCTTTTTCTGGAGCTTTGATCTGTTCTTTCACTTGGGCTATATTTCTTTGTTTTGGCACACCTATTACGTAGTGAGAGGCAGAGCCTTAGGTATTCGCCAGGGTAGAGCAGCCCACTTCACTGCTTCTGATGCTATATGTGGGGGAGGGGTCCGAGAGGGAACAATGCCACTCAGTCAACTCTTGCCCCACTTCCCATCACTTCCCTCACTTCCCACAAGCAGACTGTGCCCTTTCAGGTGCTTGTTTCCCAGGTGGGTGGGCTTGCGTATGTTCTAGGAACCCATGGGTCTCCCCAATGGACTCTGCTGTGAGGCTGGAAGTTTCTCCTGCCGCAACCCCCACAGGTTTTTACAGTCAGAGGTTTTGAGGCTTCAGTTTCCTGAGCTGGAACCCCGGGTTGCATGGTTTGTCCCACTCCCACGTTGTCCCTCCCCGCTTATCGAAATGTGAATGTGGGACCACCTGGCCGGCCAGCTGCTACCTCATTGCACATCCTCTCCACCCTGGCTGCCCATCTCAGCCGCTCCTACCAGGCTGAACGAATGTTTCTTCTTTAGCTCCTTGGTTGAAAGACCTCCATACAGGTCAATTTTCTGGCAATTCTGGTTGTGTTTCTTTTTAAGTTTGTTGTTATCCTTCTTTTTCCTTGTGGGAGGAAGCAAAGCACATCTAACCTATGCCTCCATCTTGGCCAGAAAGGAGATCTTTATTATTCATTAATCTTAACTAATGGTGGGACAGCCCAAACCCCTGTGCTTTTCAGCAAATTCATCTTCTAGGTTGAAGTACAAATACAGGTCACTCTGTTGCACCCCAAAGCCCCTATGTGCGGTGCCCCTGCCTGCCCCCGAATGCCTGCCCTTCACTCACAGCAGTCGGGGAGGGCAGTGTGGGGTCTAAACCAGAGCACTGAAGTCAACCGAACTCTTAACACTGCCGTCCCTGTGAACTAGATAATAAAAAGTACACTTTTTTGGTCATTTTCTTTTGTCAAATACATCAAAGAAACTGTGTCCTTTCTCTGGTAAAATACCAGTCACTTATTTTGTTAGGGTCTCTAAGCAATCATTCCAGGAACTGGATAACTTTGGGGCAAACGTCCAAAAGTTCCAAGAGTGTGATACGAATGTTCTAATTTCTTGAGTTTCCCGTCTTCTCTTCTGAGGAGTGAGCGTAACAGAGGTCTAATGGTTAAGGTGCTGAGCTCCAAGCCATTCAACAAGGATTCTCATTCCTCCAACAAGTACTGGAGCACTTACAAAACACCAAGAGCTGTTCCAGCAGCAGAACACATGCCTGGGCCCATAAAGCTCAAATTCCCCTGAGATAGGCCAGTCTATATATATAAACAGAGAAGAAACACAATACATACAAGATTAGATGGCAATAAAGGTTATAAAGAATGGAAAACTTTTTTCTTTCTCCTTAATGTCCAAGGTTTTTCCTCCTTTCTTTTTGAAAGCCTTCCTAGGCTGGTCCCAAATGCCTTTTGCTGGTCAATTCAGCAATCTCATTAAAAGATTTGGATAGACAGGCTTGATGCCATACATTTAAAATGGTCTGCCATTCAACCAGAGAGAGAGCAAGGAGAGAACGATACTTTGGGGGGTATCTATTGTAGAAAAAACACTTTAGAACCACACAAATTTCTCAGAGAACCCTTTCGAAAGAGGAGGTACATCTCTGCACATCATCAGCTACACCTTTCTTTGCCAAAGAAAGGGAAGGACCAGTGTAGAGTGGTTTCCAGAATAGACAAGAAAGACACACACACAAGTATGGTGGTGAGCTAGTTTGTAGTTGTCTGTACTGTTAAAGTGTCTGTGTGTATCTCAGGTGAAAGTATTTAAAATGAAATAACAGATGAGGTTTTTATTGGGTGGGGAAAGAGGTAGAGAGTAAGACGAAACATAAAGCTTTCAAAGCCGTCCCCAAACTTCAGAAAACTTGCCTGGGCAACACCTCTCAGGACTTACACATGCCCACCTGACAGAGCACAGACAATCGAAGAGTGCTGACCACCGGCTGAGTCCCTCTCCCACCCCAACACTTGAAGGTGGAGACAGTCAAGCAGGCTGCCACCAACTCTCCTTTGTAGATTCCCTAGAGCACAGGTGGCAAACACAAGGACCACCAGCTGAATCTGGCCCTCCATGTTTCTTAATCCGGCCCAGCACCTTGGTTCTACCCAGTGGCAGTGCCGAGCTCCTTGCCCCTAGTTAAGGAGTGGTTACATTTATACTGCCCTAAACATTACATTTGGCCTGTTGAAGGCAACTGCAAGGCTGATGTGGCCCCTGGTGAAAATGAGTTTGACGCCCCTGCCCTATAGCGTCATTCCCCTTTCACCTACAACCCCCCTTTAACTCACAACCATGAAAAGTGATTTAGATCAAAAGAACACCAGATTTCCCTCCCCCCCCAGTCAGCTTATTGAAGATAGGCTGACACACTCAGCAACAACCACAAAAACACAGCGCAATGTTAAATAGGGGAAGTTTGAAAAATTCTTCCTTCTTCGAACCATACGTACTCCGGAGCTCTGAAAAAGTACTTCTATAAGCTCGCCCCAGCCTGCTGACGTTTATACAGCCTGCGCTGCATGGAACCTGCTGTCGTGGAACAGCTTCGGCTTCGAGCCTCGTGTGTAAAACTGGAGCAGAGGTCACAATTGGTCCCCTCCTCGCCGAGTGATTTGGCTACAGCAACTTTGAAAATTATGTTAAGTCTGAGAAGAACCAAAACACCTCCCACTGTTCACTAAAATCTGTTGCCAGAAGAAATGTTTTTTAAAATATGCTTCTAAAACAGCAAGTGAAGTCGCTACTAATTACCTCAACAAATAAATGCCTTATTCTTAAAATAAAAGGGCACAGGAAGGAATGGACCTGAAGAAATGGATCCCTTTGACGAAGTTCTTCTCCAAGGAGAATAATAAGAGCTTTTGTATTTATTATTTTGGTTTAAAATATTTGGTTTGGGTTTTCCTACTTTTTTTCACCGTCCCTTCCTAAGTAGAATGAGTCTGTATCTCTAGTATATATAACACAGATGTGGTAAAAGTGCACTTGGGGGGCATGGTAAAACTAATCTTATTGTAAAATTTTAAAGGAAAAATAAAAACAAAGCTAATTCACAAAGTGAATAATCAAGGGTTGATCTACTCAAGTCAAGCAGCATCAGAAATAATTCCTCTGAATCAAGAAGTAAAATAATAATAAGAGTATGAGTTCTTACATGGCAGGCACTGGTCTTAATACTTTCTCTGGATTATTTGACTTAATCTTCCCCAAATCCTAAGAAGTAGTAAAGGTCTACCTTGCAGATCAGGAAACTGAGGCGCAGAGGGGCGAGGCACGAAGCTAAGGGCACAGAGCTCGGAAAGCTGCGAAGCCCAGGATTCAAATGCAGGCAGGCAGGCTGCCTCCAGGGCAGCTCTGCTAAGAGCTGTTCTGTCTCCCAATCACGGTCAAGGCCTCTCACTTACAGATGAATCTAGAGAAGGGAAATTAGTATTTAAACTAAAAAAAAAAACCAAAACACCCACACTCTAGATCCAAACCATTTTTCAAAACAAAACAAAACGAGCAATGAAAAGCACATCAACAGGTTCTCTGACAAACAGAAGAGAAAAATATTAATCATTCCCAACAAGCCTCATGCTGATCGGAAAGGCAGGCTGCTTCCATCTGCTGTTGCTAGTACACAAACACACAAACACACAAACACAGGCACCGCGGCTGGTCAGAGCGTCAATTGCTTCTCCTTTTTGTAACTCCACTCAGTGAGGCAAGTCGAGTCAAAACAAAGCAAAAAAGAGAAAAGAAACCCACACACACATTAAGCAGGTTTTGAGGTTTATTAAAATGAAGTATTAGCAAACAATATCCAAAAACGAAGTTCTTAAGAGTTATGGCTTTGAAAAGCACAATATAGTAAAACCTAATACATTTTTATAAGTATCAAAAAGATAACAGAATGCAAGCATGTTGCTAGAGTTTTACTTTCTACAACATAAACAGAAGCAGAACAAGTACAAATAAGAAGCAGGCCTACAGTGCAGCCACTGGTTTGGTATTTATCCTCTGCACATGAAATACCTCTCCAAGACAACATGGGTAGGTACACATAAACCAGTTTTCATCACAATCTCATCCAATTTTAAAGTATGTGGTTTTCAAAATGCAACGTAACAAGGTCAAGAAGAAAACCACTTGCCCAACTACTATCTCTGAGAGTCCCTGCAGTTTATGAATGAATCCAAGCCACATCACTTGTGATGGAAAATCTGACTCTAAAAGATTTCTTCTTTTATGAAAAACGTGAGCTTGTTGGGCCTCACTGGAGTTTGGTTATCACTAATACCAGCTAGTATTAAGAAGGTGCTACCTAATAATGGGGAAAAATCAACCTGTACACAAAATTCTGAACTTTAAAAAAATAGTATCTTCAAATAAAACCTTACAGGGCAATAATATGATTTTAAGAACTTAAAGAACAGAGTGATTTAGACAAGAGCCATGCACACCTTCTCCATTCTGCCATGAACGAAAGAAAAAAATCCTTCCCTGATGGGGTCTTCTCCACACAATGACCCATCGCTGGTGTTACAGTAATTGCAATCAGAAATGTTACAACGTAAGCTCTTACCTTTAAAAAATTTAGTATGTAAAATCCCTCTTGTGGGTTTTTATGAACCATCCAATTTTCAAGTGGCACTTTAATCCTAACACAGTTGTATGTTAGAAGGTAAGTTTCTATTGTGAATAATCCAACAGAACAAAAGCTTGATAAATCCTGTTACCTCCTGTCACCAGGACCTGCCAAATCTGAACTGCAACCCAGTGAATCCCACGGAACTCTCCACGTTTCTGTGCAGCAGGTAAGACTGTTCAGGCGGAGGTAATGCCTTGAACACTCACTTTCCAGGAAGCCTCCCCCAAATCCTACCTGTAACAAGGAGGAAAATGTTGCCGTTCTGGGGAAAAACAGGCATCAAACCTGAGATTACCTGCAAAAGGTACCCAAGTTCGTATCTGAGGAGACCACCCACAAACCAATGCTTAGGAAAAGTCGCTCCCATAAAAATCACTGAACACTCTATACCACGGGGCTATTGACCGGTTTAAAAGACCTGTGTTATGTAGCTGACGAGCTCACGGAGGAAACCCATTTCTGTTCGCACCCGGCAGGTGAATGAGGCTTTGACTAAAAAGACGAAGAAGGGCTCTGACTCTCTCAGGAGTTAACAGGTATAAACAGTGTCATTGGTAACTATTAAAAGATTCTTCCTTCTTCAGGGAGCGTAAAAGGTATTAATATATTTTAAGTGGGAGAGTGATAATAATCCAAAGTAACATTAAGTACAGGACTAGGAAAAGTATGAAGAAATGGACCTAAACTGGTGTATCGGATGCTCTGTAACGGAAGTACAGCACAGAAGCAGGTTCTCTCTCAAACTGTTCAGAATCTCTCTGCTGTTGTGAGGATCTGACTCCCTGTATAAACATTCTCCTTCAACAGAACAACAGTTCTCCTTCTGTTGAAGGAGAACGTTTCTCACAGGCACCCTCAGATCCAGAGGGCTTTATAATGTGAGCCCCAGTTCTTGTCTTGACAAAATGCATTTCGGACCTGAAGACCAATCATTTTACACCCTAAAAGAATGCCTTACATCAGATGTATAGAAAGTATGCGGCTAAGCCTTTCTACTTTGCTAGGTGTGCTGTGTTGAGCTGCCCAGTGATTGCACAGTGGATTTCACCTTGGAGACCAGCCAACTCTGTTATCACAGGCTTCTTACATAACAATTGTGAAATGGGAAAAATTATTCACATTCTGATCTGCATATTTGACATTTTCATTGATGTCTTCCTTAAACTTTCTCTAAAGAAGAAATGTTGGCCTCAACAGACCAGTAACATACCTACTAGTTTCCATTTCACAACCTAAGTCAGGCAATTCCACCCAGACCATAATACCTATTATGCAGCCATGCGAGTCAAAGGCACCTCTTACATCGTACCCCCCCCCACAGCTAACATCTTTTTGTTGTATTAATTCATTACTGAGATTAATTTTGATTCTATTCTCTTTGCATTTGCCAAACTGGTGGTAATTTTAGGATTCCCACACTGTCCATTCAGCAGGCGTGTTAATATGTCGTACATGCTGTAAAATGTGATCATTTTAATGGTGTTCATGTTTAATAAACATTCTAGAGATTAAATACAAACTTGAAACTGTAATTTTCTGAAGTGGTTTCTTTCAGAGGCATTTCCTTTTCATTGGTCAGAATTTTACTTAGTTCTTAAAAACCCTCCCAGCAATTTTTATGCCCTATCCATAGCCATTGGACATCCTCGGGAGTCAGAGAAGCAGCCGAGTAAGCTTCCATTTAAAACCCAGGGTGTGCAATTGAGAACTTCTGGCAACACAACAGGCTTACACTTCTCCACAAAACTCTGAACAGTGAGTGGCGGAAGTACTGCTGCTCACAAGACACAGCCCCCTAGGAAAAATGTAGAAAAGGCAGATCACATAAAAGCCTCTGAATTCCAAAAGCTATGAAATGAACAAAAACAATTTTTAATTAACTCAACTGACAGTGTCAATAAAACAAGTTTCCCTCACTTCAAGCCCACTGAAGTTGGTTACATGTATCTGTTATTCAGCCTGGGTGGTTTTGTGCTACAAATTGTTCCAAATTGTTACAAAAAGTAAATAGAAACTGTTCTATCACAGAGCAAACATACTTTTCCACGTGGCTGACACAGCTCTGGAAGACTGAGAATGTGTGTCGTGTGAAACTACGGCTAAGGCTCAGGTGACTCATAAAGTGCCCTGTCACCCGGCAAAGGCCAGTGAGCGGAGGCCCACATGGCAGGCACTTCATCTTAAAGAGTAAAACCATCCACTGGCTGCACTTTGTAAAAGCAGTAAGTGATGTCACAGAGAGAGGAAAAAAAGAACCACATTCTCCTTTCCTGAAAAAATGCACTTACTTCCTCATAAAAGCAGGAAGGGCAAGGCAGTCCAACCAAAGAACGTTTTAAACACAAGACTGACACGGCTCCAGACACTTACAAAAGGCACCGGAAAGTAAGCTGCTTCTGACAGCTAAGTTCGGTCGCTTTTCTCAACATAAGGCCTGTGTTCTCATGCCCTAACTGGGAGTTGAACTGACCGCTCCCTGGAAGAAGGGGCTAAGAGCCTCTCCCCAAAGCTTTGAAGCACGACCGATGAAAAGGGCATTTTAGAGTTCCCACGCCATTCCTCTCTGAGGGCAGTGCTCTGGGTGACTAGCACTCACACAGGAGCTTTAAAAGGAGGAAGGAAGAAAAGAAAAAAGAGCATGCAAGGTAACTGACAGAACCATCCGCAGTCTTTGACCCACGAGTGTTCTGAAACCACTGTCGGCGACCACTGCCAGTTCCTTCAGGTCTGAGACCAGGCGCCTCCTCCTTGGGGCCAGACAGGAAAGGCTCCTCCTAGGGCTCCAGTGCACAGGTCCCCGCGTGGGGAGACTGGTGCAGTAAGAGCAATGGATTCAGTACAGGATATTCCAACATTAATAATGTCCATAAAACTGGAATTAAAAAGGCACCTTAAGCTGGAGCTAAAGAGTAACAGTATTATAATCTAGGCTGAAAATACAACAAAGGCTAGAAAAAGCGTAACTTCTACAACTGTCATCTATAAACTGCAGTGTTTGTCCATACAAAAGGGGAACCAGGGAAGTAAGGATGAGCAACTAAAACACACTGAAGTCCAAATCACTTCAGTGTGTTTCGCAGAAGGTTACACTAAAGACTGTCGCCCATCAAAGTGCAAAGTAAAAGGCTAATGCATGTCAAAATTGGAGTTCTGGCAACGCGAGCCGAAAGCCGCAAATCCACCCAAGCAGGACCACGTGTCGCTGCCGCCGGCGGTAAAGCAGTACTTCGGCCGGGTTCTGAGTGAATGACACATACCAGAGAGCTGTGGTTGGCGGTGATCTTTTTTTTTAAAGGAGATGTTACACAAAAGATATACTGAGTGAAGTCACAACACACAGACGAACATTTAGCTGTATTAAATGGAAATTTTATGACATCATCTATACAACTATCCCTTTGCTTTTACTGAACACCACCTGTTAGAGCAGCGCACAGTGTTCCTCACACAGAAGGTTTTTTATAGTTTCTTTTAGGTCCCTACCATATGCTTCTATAGAACAATAAACTAGACTTTTTAAAAGTTGGTGGGACAAAGAAACTGGAAAATGTACAGCTTCTTGAGTATCAAGAGTCAAAGGGAAGACTTTTCACTGTGTACCCTCTCTTACACTATCATCATTTTTCATGTATTGTTCTACATTTTTTTAAAAAAATTGAACAAATTTAAAAAAACTGTTGGGACAATAAGGCAAATGTATGTTCCAGTTTAAGATTAATGCCAAACCTCAGAACTGGGGCACAAGATTTTCTCTGCATCTTTCACAACACTTTTTGAGAATTAATCACGTGAACACTAATACAAACAAATGTAGATTCATCACAAAATACAAATGTATTGGTCACAATTATGTAGAAAAAAATAAGATGTTTTCCATGTAAGCTCACAGTATCTGTATTGAAAGTTTCCCTAAAATTAAAACAAGTCCACTAATGATATCATTGAAAAGAACACTTCTGCACTATGAAACAGAAGAGATGGGGTTCAGAGGGGAGCCCATCTGAGTGAGGACTTTATCCAGCCACTGCAGAGGCCCGTGCAGGTGAATCTCAATCCAGCACGGGGTGCTGGTGACGTCCTGCCGGTGGTACTCCGCTCCCCAGCCCTGGGAAAATGAACAGACATCACAGTGAACACCTCCTTAAAAGTGTCAACCAGCCAAAACCGACTCTCACACACTGACACATAGATACATCACAGCAGACATATGCAGCATGTACTCAAACAAAGATCACAAAACCAACCTTAGCATTCGCCATGGAGTTAAAAGTAACACCACAGCTGCATCATTGAAAGACAGATGATTTTTTAATAACATAGAATTCCCTTAACAGAAACTGTTGGAGCAAGCTGCTTCAGATTTCTTTCTCAATTTCACACAAGTTAATACATTCTAAATCTCATAATTTAAAAATTAATATTTCTGCAGTGAGATACATTCTTAATTAGATAAATAAAACCTATAAATAGCCTCATGTAAGTTCATATCAGATTTTTTTGTACCAAATTCTTTTTGTTTCCAAGTTTTGGGTATTTTCTCTTTAAATAAAAGATCGGGCACTAGATTTGATCAGTGCATGCAAGTGCAATACATATCAATCATCCTTTAAAACAGGAAATTACAGGGATCAATTGAGCCTGAACACTTTACCCTGAACTCCAGAAAAAGTTAAAGCTTTTTTCATTCTTATTTGGCTGGAGTTATCAACTCTCTGCTTTACTGCTTATAGTAGTCCTGGGCCAGAAAAATCAGGCTGGGGAGCTGGGAGGGGATGGCGGGGGGGGGCGATAGGGGAGAAAAGATTAAATACGCAAAAGTGATGTTTCTACAGGAGATTACTGTGACAAACCGATGCTGGTGACGAGCCTGCACTACACTGGGCAGCACGGAGGCACTGGGCTGCGGGCCTGGATGCAAAAGGAGGGACCCGCACAGGGCACCTGACAGCTGCTCTTCCTGGGCTGGGCCCTAAGGGCCCAGCACGTCCAGTTCAGGTTGCTTGAATGTATCACTAAAATTCTTTCCACATTTTGCTCATGAACTATCATCTTTGGAACACCAATAAAATCTGGCCAACAGTAAATGATAATTCTGAAAAGTTCTTTAAACTCCGCAAACAATTCCAGCGTCCTAAAGAACCCTTCGAGTCACTCTAACAATGGGGTCTGACAGCGACAGATGCTGCTGAAGCTAAGGGACTAGAGGGGGTTTAACAGTGAGCACTCTCTAGCAATTTAGTCTTCGCCTTAAATTCTCTGTAAGCCCAGCCCCTTTCAGACCTACCATGTGGTTAAAGTTATAGAGTGAAGAATTTCATTTAAAAACTTGTTAAATCAGGTTAAATGTAATCACCACCTTTCATTTAATAATGGATTTATAAAATTATATACTACAGACATATAATATACACATTCATGGTGACTCAAATTGAGCTACAGGCCCGACCTACTGACCTTGACAAAACTCATTCGAATCGTGCACATTTTAGTGAGTTCGTACACTGCTTCAAACCCGTGGTTGACAGACTGAGCCAGGAGCTGTGCAAACTCTTGATTGTTGAAAATTTTGAGACTGCAGCTGCTGGGAATCTTACAGACGGTGGTAGGATGAAAGCCGTGATGGAAGTTGCAGTTCCTGCTCTGCACAAATATGCTGCTGTCGCTCAGACACTCTGCATACACCTCACCGCCAACGTAGTACAGGTGAACCCCTGAGAAAGACAGGCATCACCAGAGTCAACAAAGCAGTCTAATAAAGCCACAGGGGCTGCATGAGGGGCAACCAAGAACAACCACAAACCTAGAGCCAATGCCCTAGTCTTTCGACAGAAGATACCACCAAGGTGGCCTTACATGGCCAAAGACAATAAAGAAATTAATGTCTGCCTAAATCCAAAACTGTCCTCAAGTAACTAGGACTTAAGACTCAAGTTGGTAGCTTATTAGGCTACAAGTTCTTAGGGTTTTCCCCTTTTACAACAACCATCATTTATCATCTCCATGAGAGAAAGCAATGGCAAAAAACAAGTGCCTTATGATGAGCCCTTTCAAAGGACTGCTTGGTTATCAACTAACACACGAAGTCGTTTGGCACTGAGTTTTGTGCTCCTTTTGCTAATGGAGGGAAGAACACTAAAAACATCCTAAGGCACATGTGTAAATTTAGGTCACAAAAGGAGCCTTTAAATGACAGGTTTATTTTACTTTCCTTTAAAAAAAGTTTTTGGTATTTAAAATATACATATATAAATAAATATGAATACAGTTAAATATTAAAAATTCAAATTACATATCTGAAGCTGAGTTGTTCCCAACTTTTTACTACTGCCAACACTGCTAAAAGACTGTCCTTGTCCACACACACCTCTGCACACGTGAGTCAGACTGGTGTGCAGCTGTGACATTAACATCTTTTTTGTTTCTGAACAAATAAAAATGACCCATAGAAGAAAGGGTCCTAACACTGTACACACTGATTCTGGAAGCCAAGAATTCACCAAGTAAATTCCTTCTGAAATATTCTACTGCAGTAAGAGAATCAATGCATAGAAGTGAGGCACTTCACTCAAACTGGATTTCCTACCTGTAACTCTTCAACATAATGGAAATTCCTACATGTCATCTTAACCCCAAATACTCCATAAATACCATAGTTATAAAACGCTAACCCTTCCAACAGCATTCAACTATTTCACAAGTATTTGCTGTGTATTTATTATGAATCAAGCAGTTTTAGCTGCTGAAAATGTTCTAAACACAGCCAATTTCTGTAAAGTTCGTATTCCAGTCAGAAAGATATTAAAACAATAAAGTAGGTAATTGGCTTTCAGACCCCAAGCACTATGAACAGTAAGCGAGCAGGTAGGGAAAGGGGGCTGATTATGTCTTTACTTCAAGGCCTGAGCTGGAGGGCAGAGACCACGCCCAAGGCGTTGTATGCTCCAGCACTGCACACAGGGCTGGTCCGGGACAAGCACAGCACACACAGAATTCAAGTGAACGTAGAGAAATGGCAAAATTACCTTTCCCAATATGCCGCCTAGTGTTTTCAATCGTCGAATTACGGTTAACATTTGACAACAACCCCAAGCAGAATCTACTCTTGTTATTTGAAGGGTCTGTGAATCCATCTACTAACACACTGGTAGAAGACGCATGAAAAGCCTCCCCAACACGATTGTTCAATTCATAGTAAACAATTGAACACCAATGTTTGGGCTCTTCATAGGCAACAGGCTGAACATCTGTGAACAAACCAAAGAGAAAAAGAGTTTAAAGCATAATTATCAGGAACTCCAGATTCTCTATGTGTTTCCCTTAAACCCAACTATATAAAAAAGAAAATATTCAGATATTTCACTTAGTCTTACTGTCCTTCCTGGCTTTGAGTCTGTATCCAAAATACATACTCCAAAATGCTGTGAATCTGATGATTTTTGTAAGTATATAATACAAGGATAGGCAACATCACATTCTAAATGGTTTTTCCAGCAGAATCTAATCCAGGTTTAATGTTTGAGATGACAAACCTATTTCAGCATCCTAAAAGACTTAATTATACCAAGTACCCATAAAATCATACTAAACAAAATTATGAACTAAAATAAAAACTAAGTGAGATTCTCAGCAACAGACCCTCCAGAATAGAGGGGAACTTTTTCAACTTGATAAAGAACATTTACAAAAAAGCCTATAGCTAACATCATACTTAATGGTGAAAAACTAGATTCCATGCTAAGACACCAGGAGTAACAAGGTACGGATGTACCTGCTACTCCACTTCAACACTGTACTGGAAGTCCTAGCTAATGCACTGAGACAAAAAAAAAAAAAATAAATGAATGAATGAATGAATGAATAAATGGTATACAGACTGGGAAATAAGAAATAAAACTGTCTCCCCCCCCAACAAATGATATGACTGCCTATACAGAAAATCTGAAAGGACTGACCCCCCCCCCAAAAAATAATCCTCCTGGAATTAATAAGCAATTACAGCAAGGTTAGTATACAAAAGTCAAATCACTTTCCTATACACCAGCAATGAACAAGTGAACTTTGACATTGAAAACTCATTACTAATTTACACTGGCATTCAAAAATGAAATACTCAGGGAAAAATCAAACAAAAATAGGTAAAATATCTTTGAAAAAACTGTAATACTCTAATGAAAGAAAACAAACAACTGTAAATGGCTATTCCATATTCCTGAAGCTTCAATATTATCAAGATGTCAGTTCTTCCTAAGATGATCTATTGATTCAATGCAGTCCCAACCAAAATCCCAGCAAATCATTTTGTGGACATCAAGAAAGTGATCCTAAAGTTTATATGAAGAGGCAAAAGACCCAGAATGGCCAACACAATACTGAATAACACAAACAGAAAACTGACAATACCCAACTCAAAGACCACTGTAAAGCTACAGCAATCAAGACTGGGTGGTACTGACAAAAGAATAAACAACCTGATCTAAAAACAGAGGAGAAAATCCAGAAACAAACTTACATAAATATAATTAACTGATCTCTGATGAAAGAGCAAGAGCAATAGTGGAGAAAAGATAGTTTTTTCATCAAATAATTTAAGAACTGACATTCACACACACAAAAAATTAATCTAGACACAAACCTTACACCCATCACCAAAATTACCTCAAAATGGTTCACAGACCTAAATGTAAAATGCAAACTGTTAAGACTCTAGAAGATGAAACAGGACAAAATCTAGATGACCTTGAACAAAGTGGTGAATTTTTAGATATAACACCAAGACATGACCTATGAAAGAAATAATCAATAAGCTGGACTTCACTGAAAACGAAAAACCTTTGCTATGCAAAAGACACGGTCAAGGGAATAAGACAAGTCACAGACTGGGAGAAAATATTTGCAAAAGACATATCTGATAAAGAACTGTCATTCAAAATACACAAAGAACTCTTAAAACTCAACAAGAAAATGATCACCCCAATTAAAAAGTGGGTCAAGGACACAAAACAGACACCTCACCAAAGAAGTTATATACATGGCAAATAAGTATATCAAAAGATGCTCCAGGACTTCCAGTCAAGATGGCACCACAGGTAAACACTGCTCGCCAAGTACAACCACATCAAAATGACAACTAAAATATAGAACCCCCATCACTCAGAACCGTCAGAAACTGAGTTGAATGGAAGTCTCACAACTACAGAACTAAAGAAACCACATCCATCCAGACTGGTAGGAGGGACCCAGACTCAAAGTGGGCTGGTCCCACACCCACATGTGGTGGATAAAAATTTGGGAGGAGTATCTCGGGGTGGAGGAGTCCCGGGCCTACCTCAGGCCCCCCCAGAGCAGGGTGCCAGTGCCAGGAAGATAAGCCCCCATAACTCCTGGCTACAAAAACCAGTGGAGATTAAGTGGGTAGAAGAAACTTCTGGAGCCCCAAGGAGTTCCCCTTATATAATGCATACAAGGACTTAATCACACTCAGTCCCTCTGAGCTCCAAGCCCAGACAGCCACTTGAAAGGCACCAGGGGCATACAGGGAGAAAGTGAAGTGTCTGGTATGAAGGCGGGAGCGGGGGAGTTTTCTCTCAGACAAAAAGGCAGGCCACTGTCCCTTTTCTGAACCCTCCCTCTAAAAAGCCAGGAGGCTGGTGCCCTATCTAAGAGTCCATCACCTGGCTAACATTGTTTACCCCACCCTGGAGATCCCATGAGACTCCACTCCACCCATCTTACAGGCCATCCTACCTGTTTTTCCATATAAATGGCTGGTGCTGGCCCATGCTTTGCAACTTCTTAAATCCTCTCAAACAAGCAACAGCTGGCCTCAGTGAGACAGCAATCCCCAAACCTCTCACTAAAAGGCCCCAGGCTTGGCACTAGCAGCAGCCAGCCTAGATTCACAGCTTGGTTTTGCCTGGGCATCTCCAAGCCCAGCACAAGTTAACAGCCATATCAGATTGCTTTATAGCTCATGGAGGATGGCCCTGGGCAAAACACAGAGAGGGGCTGACCTTTCCCACCTGGGGAACCCCAGAGCCTGCCCACCCAGTGAAAAACTACTGACCACACTGGAGCACTACCACCCTGCCCCTGCACAGGTGATCCTCCACAGAGGGTGGAGATTGGTGCTCAGTGGTCACAGCCAGTCCTTGTAGCTGACTGGCCTGAGTAAAGCCCTCCCACTGACCTGCCAAAAGTAATCAAGGCTCAACTACAAGAAGAGGTTGTACTCAGCTCACACGAAGGGCACACCTCGGGGGACAGGGGAGGAGGCTGTGCCACTGGACCCTACAGAACACCTACTACATTCGGCCATACCACCAAGACAGAGAGTCATAGTAGCTCTACCTAATACATAGAAACAAACACAGGGAGGCTGCCAAAAATGGGGACACAAATAAATATAGCCCAAATTAAAGAACAGATCAAAATTCCAGAAAAAGTACTAAAAAAATGGACATAAGCAATCTATCATATGCAGAGCTCAAAACACTGGTTGTAAGGACGCTCCAGAAACTTAAGACGTCAACAGCACAGAAAAGATCCAGGCAGAAATGAAGGACACTCTAATGAAAACAAAGAACAATTTACAGGGCAACAAGAATAGAGTGGATGAAGCTAAGAATCAAATCAATGATTTGAAATGTAAGGAAGCAAAAACAACCAATTAGAGTAAGAAGAAAAAAGATTCAAAAAATGAGGATACTGTAAGCAACCTCTGGAACTTCAAGTGATCCAACATTTGAATCACAGGAATGCCACAGGAAAAGAGAAAAGAGAAAGATATTGGAAATGTATTAAAAAAATAGTCTATTCTGCTGTGTGTAATGCACACCACTTGCCCAAATTTTTGAGGAAAAATAAGGATGCACATTATACATGGGTATAATGATTCCATATCATGAGTATAATCACGGGTATAATAATCTCATGTATGATGCGCACAAAAACATGGGTGAGCATTACACACAGGAGTATATTATACACAGCAAAATATGGTAATGGAAGAAAATTTCCCTGATTTGATGAAAGAAATAAACATGCAAGTCTAGGAAGCACAGAGTCCCAAACAAGATGGATGCAAAGAGGTCCATTCCAAGACACATAATTAAAATCCTAAAGGTTAAAAAAAGAATCTTAAAAGCAGCAAGAGAAGAGCAGTTAGTTAAGCCCTGGCTGGTGCAGCTCAGTGTATTGGGTACGGGCCTGTGAACCAAAAGATCACAGTTCGATTCCCAGTCAGGGCACTTGCCTAGGTTTGCATGCCAGTTCCTAGCAGGGGCCAATTCCCAGCAGGGGATGTACGAGAAGCAACCATACATTGATATTTCTCTCCCTCTTTCCCTCTCTCCCTTCCCTTCCCTTCCTTTCCCTGGGACAAGAAAAAACTGAAGGAGTTCAGCATCACCAAACCATTATTATATGAATTATTAAAGAGACTTAAATTTAAGGGGAAAAAAAGATCAAAACTAAGAACAATAAAATACCAACAAATACATATCAACAATTGAATCTAAAAACAAACTAAGCAAACAAGAGGAACAGAGACAGAATCATGGATGTATACAGAGAGTGTTCTGATGGTTGCTAGATGGAAGGGGAGTATGGGGAATGGGTGAAGAGGTGAGGGGCTTAAGAAGTACAAATAGGCAGTTACAGAACAGCTATGAGATGTACAGGAAACAGAGTAGCCAAAAAAAACCTACGCATGACCCATGGACATGAAGTGGGGTATGGAGATTGCCCGAAGAAGTCGGGGGTGAAGGGGGAAAAATTGGGACAACTATAATAGCATAGTCAATAAAACATAATTTTTTTAAAAAGATGCCCCACATTATATGCCATCAAGAAAATGCAACTTCAAATAACAATGAGATACCACTGCCAGTCATCGGAATGGCTCAAATCCAAAAAACTGAAAACACCAAATGCTGGTGAGGATGTACACTTATTCACTGCTGGTGGGAATGTATAACTGTATAGCCACTTTGAAAGATAGTTGGAAGGTTTCTTATGAAACTCAACATACTTTCAGCTTACAATGCAGCAAATGTGCTCCTTGGTGTTTTGTGTGAAAACTATGTTCACACAAAAACCTGCACAATGTGTACAGCAGCTTTACTGATTATCACTAAAACTTGGAAACAACCAACATATCCTTCAGTAGATGAATTAATAAATAAACTATGGTACATCCAGAAAGTGGAATATGATTTAGAACTAAAAAGAAATGAACTCCCAAGCC